ATTTCACTTTTTCGCGCTGGGAAGGTGATATTCGTGATCAGCTCGACCTGGCGATCCAGAATATGTATAACAAAGCACAAAAAAAAATTTCACTCGAAGTCTGCTTTACGTGCATCTTAAACACTGTGGATTAACAAACAAACAAAATGTATATAAAGATTGTCCCCAACAATCTAGTCATTTACATTAAACAAACATGAAAAGTTGTGCGCACACGTTTTCCATAGTCATACCTTTTCTTTTTATTTAAATTTGCTGTTTACTTATTCTAGCATATCTATTGTATTGTTATATACACTACATTGTCTGTAGTACATGCCTATGTAATCACACTATTGTAACTTTATTTTGTTCAAATAAAAATTAAATTTGAAAAGTGGCGAAATATTTTTGTGGTCTACTGTGATATTTGGAAAGTTTATGATTCGTTAAGTTATCCAAAAGAATCAATAATTAAATTTTTCAAGAACATCTTACCTGATGAAGAAAAACTTTTCGTTTCATTTGAAAATGTTCAACAGCAAATTGGTGGTAACAATTTTTTTTTTCTATACTTGTGTAATTGTAATACTTGACTTATACTTTATTTGAATGTAATAAAGAAGTAATAAAGTAAAATTATTAATAAGTTATAAATGTATTAATAATTAAGTATATATAAGACTATTGTATAACTTAATATTTACTAATTAATTGATTAGTGCACATAGTCGATTGGCTATGTGTATTTGAGTGTACATAGTCACCTCCTTTTATTTATGTTCTATCAAAAAACGGATCACCTGTCAACTGTCAAGATTGACATTGTAGGAGAAAGTTGAAATTACAATAATCTATAGAAAACATGAATGAAGTCATAGCCAAACGGAGATTATTGTTTTAGAATCTAAGGTTGAGGAAATAGTTTTTCTTAGTTTAAAATAATAGAGATAATCAGAATATCCATAAATCACAACATTCTTGTATCAACTGATTTAAGCTCGACAGAACTGAAGTGTATCAAATTTCGGGAAGATCATTGAAACGTAGGGATAATTCCAATCTACTTCTACTAGCATTCTCTGTGAATGAGACCCTGATCGAATGACAATAGTAAATCTATTGTCTTTTTCTCTTTGCACTAAGGTAGGATAATACTCATACTATTGATAATTGATCTTATTCTTTTTGTAACTACTTTTAGTCAATCGATTTCGTTGTTCAAAAGGATGGCGACGTCTAGGCGGTTCATGCTACTATATTTCCAATATTACTTCAACATCAAATAAAGCCAATTATACTTGTAGTCACTTTTATTTCACTCATTCACGATTAATGAAAATTCGTAATTCTATTGAATTATTCTATGCAGCAAATATTCTCATCAACAATAATCTCTCCGCATTGATGCTCGATATCGATCCACAATTGCTTGAAGGTGAGTTAATACAAAAAAAAAATAATGTCCTGCTCCATCTATTTGTCTAGGCAAACGTATTGCCAAATTATTAATGGATGATCAAGGTAAATGGTCAAAGATGAAAAAAGAATTTCGGGAAGTACAAATAAGAGATCGCAAATTGAAACTACAAGTACTTGATGAATTACGTGCTGCCGGTTTGCGTATAGTAATACGTTCGAAAAAGACTAAACAAGTTGTTTACGAAAAAAAAGAAAAAATTCGACTTAATCATAGTGACCAAGATGAATACAATAATGATGAACTAGTCGATGGTGGACAAAACAGGATGACTATTTCTATTCAAAATTCAACGGAGGTCAACGAACAAGATTATGAAGAGGAGGATCTCGATTCGGCTGATGATGCCGATGATTTTGAACAGGTCGACAATATTCGTAATATCTGTGATGAAGTCGTTTGGAATGTTATGAAAAACGATTCTCAAGTCTATATGCTAGCAGCTTTTTTGCGTGCGGAAAAAGTCGTCTGTTCGTTGAGTGACGTTGAACCTAATGTCAAATATGATTACGTCTGTGAATATGGTATGTCATTTTCCTTTTTCTTCTTCATCTCTCGCTATCTGTTTTATCGATTAGTGCTGGACTTTTGCTTTGCAAATGATATATGCGGCAAACATGGTTATTGTGTCAATACTCTATCAGGTTATAAGTGTTCGTGCTCGTTCTTATACGGTGGTATTCTGTGTGGAAAAAGTAAGAAATTCGGCATCTTGTTTGTGACAAAATGACAAAATAAATTGTAAAACAATTCTCTTATTCAGATACTTCAGATAGAATTCGTCTATATACATGAAAGACAGGAGAGCAGCAAGAAATTCGCTATACGGGGCAGGGAGGGGGCAAAATGTCGTTTCATTATGAGAATTACGATGCTAGGACAATTACTCGCATCACATACGTATTAGCTTTATAGCATCTTGAAGGAGCATCGAGGATGGGTGTGAACAAGAGTACAGAAAAGATTATCACCCATGCCCTATATGATTTTTTGTTGTTTCTCTTTGTAGTTTCGAGACAAGGTCAACAGATTCTTATCGGCTTGGGTATTGTTATTTTTTTCTGTGTTTTATCACTTCAACCATTTCGATGGTCTATCTCGTTCATTGTCAAACTATTTGTCAAGTAAGCAAAAGACTTTCTATCAGAATTTTTTCATGTCTATTGAGTCAAATGAGAGTTGATGAGCAATGGAAAATGTACATCATCTATAATTATTAAAAATCGACTATTTCATTTCTCTTATGGAATATTGCATCGTGTTTTTTTCTCAAATTTTATGAAGCAATGTACATGCCGAGAATGAATTGACATTTTAAAAGCATTTGACATCGGAACAACAATCAAACTAGTTCACAGGATAATCAAATCTATAAATTTAACTAAATTGACCTGACCTCACTTGAACATTGATTACGAACTAATCATTCAAGTTCCTTGTTGATCAGAGTCATTAACCCTATGTAAAGGAAATTTTGAACCAAAAAACTAAAAATAATGCATCAATTAAGACAAGCGAATCCCATCTTTTTTTTCTAGATGTTGCAAAACCCGATGTGGAAATCATCATCGCAAGAAAACAGAAGCGCCTGCACGGATAACCACTCAAAATGACCAACGAAAACTCGAACCGATCGTTCGGTAAGTCAAGTATTGTAAGCCATGAAGGTAGTATATATGTGATCGATCCATTTCTTGTAGAACAGACGATCTAGGAGAAATCACCACTGGTGACGAATGCCAACAACAACTGATGGGAGATCACGTTAATTCAGAGCCGCATCGTCCAATAATAGCAGAAGAGGGCATGAAATTTTTGTGAGTAAACTTCTCAGAATTTATTTTTTATCCAAGCGTGCTTTTTAATACAAATTTCTGCACGTTTATAGACGAGAAAGATATCTACAGTCCCGAACAAAAGTAGGTACCCCCATGAAGTGACACTATTTTTCATCATTTTGAGCTGATATTTTTGGTGCGTGTGGGCTATACTAAACCCTGTTCGCAAGCAGCACCCGCTCTGAATCGATTGATACGAACTGGAGTTATGAATCGAACACTACTTTTACCTTGTAACCACTATATCTTAACCGATTTTAGACCACTATTTTCGCACAACCCCTCATTCGAAAGCCCAATGCCGCAGTTATCTCCAGTAAAATTTTGATAAGAAATCTCTCGGGAATGACTGAGATCTGATCTTTTCGTTGGAAACCTCTTCCCATCTGCATGACCTAGTCTTCAGTCTGACGCCTATAACTCGGAATAGCCTTGGCCAATTTACTTGAAAGTGTTAGCAGAAAGTCCCAAGTGCCCACGAGGCTGTACCATAATTTTGGGAACCGTGGCTCTACAACAAGTCGCGATATAGCACAGCACTGCTTGTCAATCGATGAGATCTTGACAAAGTGTGGTGGTCTCTGGCTCCAAGAAACTAGGTATATGTAGCTGCATTAAGCACCAAAAGAAACACTCATAGCTTGTGAAAAAGGAAAATGATCAACAAAAATGTTTTGAGAGCATATTTTCGCTGAGTTCCGTTCTTCACCCGGAGGATGATATTTCAATCATAACTCCAGTACATGTCAACCAAGGAAGGGTGGGTTGGTGCTTGCGATCAGGGTTCACTAAGGTACGCATGCATAAAAAATATTAGCTCGAAATGATCGAAAATAATATCACTTCAGGGAGGGTGGAGGATACCTACTTTTATTAACAACAACAGCTACGTCGTTTACATTTTTGATCTCACAGGAGTTATGCTAACAGCTTTTTATCAAGCAGTTTACAAATCTGCCGAACCACGAATTCTTTGAAACACCGTTTCCATCAACAATTTTCCGACATTTATTTTTGTTTTTGCAGTTTACCTAGAACACCGAATCCATTGTTAAATCAGAATAAATATGATCTGGTTCGTACGATTTGGGTCGGTAGTTTGAATGTATTTATTCTCTGTATACTGTTTATGATTACGATGTTTAATTTCCAATCGTTGCAATACTACATGAAGCTTGAAACTAAATCTGATGCGTTAGTCAACAATACTGTTCGTACAGTAGCGCAATGTGAACTAATTTCGAATCATATAATGGGGCATTTAATATTTTTTCCTATTGCTCTCGTGTTGATTCTTATATTTTCTTGGTCAGTTAAACGAGAAAGACGATGTCAAACGACTTGCAATGATCAACCAGGTATACTACCACCGATTGAACCATTCCAAACGGCAAATCGATTTACAACAGCGACTGTATTCGGCATTCTTACTCTTGGAATATTGAACATATTCGAAGAACTCTTTAGCACCAGCAAACCGATGAATAACGGTGTCATCCTCGCATTTTTCCAATATATTGCCGTTTTCCTTCTTCTCGGGTCAGAATTTTGTTTTGGAATACATTCGATAATCATTTTCTTTTTTCTTCTTTAGAATTCGTTATTATCCGATTCTCATCTCACTACAATTAAAGAATATTGTCGCTCGTTTCTTTGCTTTTCTATATATCATCTGTAATATAGTTTATACAATTGTACATGTAGGATCATCATGTATGAGATTTCTACCTCGATCAAGAACGTATTCGATTATCGAAGAATTGAAATTACGTTCGGTATGTATGTTTTTCTTGAGAACGAGATTGATAATGATTCTCTTTTTAGGAATTCGGACCTTGGGCTATTATTTTTCGTTTGATTGAAAATACACCACATTTTCTTTTACTCTCATATATTGGTGCAGAATTAACTGTGCGTTTTATTTATGATTCAGTTTATGTTCGTTATAAGAATAAAGAAAGTATTTGGCTTTCATCTGTAGGACAGTGTGAAGAAAGTAAATTCTCACAATATTATGTCACAAAATTATTTCAAGGAAATGTTCGATTCTACACAACAATGGTAGCGTCTGACAAACAAGATATAAATTGTGATAATTGTATCAATTATGAACATGAAACTGGATTACAAAGACAACGTGAACAATCACGCGTGAAAAAGTTCTTCGATTGGTTCTATCATTGGGATGATGGTTTTCGTTTTACAACAATGGCCACGTGTACTTATACAGTTGCTTTTATTGTTCTATATTACCTTGCATATACATGCATCTTTTTCTACATTCCACTGACAACTGAGCGCATGTCATATCTCAAATTCTATATCGAATCAATCCTAAATATTGGTTAGTGCTTCTTTTATCTTTTTCTTTTTCATAAAAATGATGAATAATTTTGTTTTTTTCAAGATATTAAAGCTTGGTCATTCGCTTTCGACACAATTCTCAGTGCATCTTTTGCATTTATTTTTTCCGCATGTCATTTATCTAGTACCATACAACGTTATAAAAGACATAAACAACAATTGTACAAAGGCATTTATGATGATGTCCCATCGGTAGTAAATTTCAAAGCAAATTCAATTAAATCAAAATCTGTTCATTTTCCGGGTTTTCTCGTTGCATATATGGCTGTGGGTTTTGTTATTTTTTTTCATTTGATCTTTTTCATTCTAAACTTTATTCGATTTATTTCGGCAAATATTCGCTATTGCGAGTTGATATTGGCTCTTGTCGTACCTGTACTAATTGTCTATCTATTAATAACGATCAGCATGTCGTCGGCAGGTAGACTTTGTTTGATACCAAATTTGGGTCATACGTACTTGCGAAATCGAAAAATCTACGCGATTCTACTTTATGCTAATTTTATTGTTGGTGAGTACTGACAATGGTTTATGAGAGTTTGTGATATTCGATTTTGGTTTGTAGATTGTTTTCTCGGAATTGCTTCGTGCATAATTCGTTTGATCAAAACTGCATTTCTCAATATATTCTTTATGGGACGACTGGATTGCAGTTTACCTGGACGATCATGGGAAAAGTTCGGTAAGACAAAACAAGTGTTAATCTTTTATTGATTCATTTTTAACTGGATTTAGATCATGGCTTTGCTGTCTACGTCTCATATTTACATATGGAAGTAGCTCATACGAATCCCGTGATGCTTGGTAGGATGATACTAGTTTATTTTGATATGTTTATAGATTTTTCTCTCATAGCCTTTTGTTATTCACTCTATGACGATATTATTAAACGTCGGCAGAAAGATTTCGATGATGATGAAGATGAGGGGGAAACACATTCCACCATCGTTCAATCCAGTACTAGACAAATGCCGCGAATGATTCCAATGCAACAATTAGCCAATCGACCAAGCGCAGCTGCAGCATCATCAAATATGAACGATAATGATGGTCTCGATACGAAGAGCATTGCACAACAAAAAGCCGAACAGCAGAAAAAGAAGAAAAACGCAAAGAAATTACCGCTCACAGTGAATGTAGCAGGCGAAAAAGATGATGAAGAGGAGCAGTCAACACCACAACGACAGAAAATCAAAATTAAGAACACAACAACCAGTTCCAATATGTCCACAGCTTACCTGAGAATCGATCATTCAATCGATTCGACCAAGACGAACGAAATGATGCAGAAGTCACGAAAAAAACGAGCTCGATTTCGTTGGTATCTCGCCTATTCAATGCTTAATAATTATCAATTGTATGATATGAGAAAAAACGTTCAAAGTCGACTGGTACTGTTGCGTGTAAACCGAAGTAATAGTCTGATCGAAATGTCTGTTTCACAACAGACAACTGTAGAAGTTGAACCAAATACAGAACAACGAAGATTAAGGTGAGGTCATTCACTATATTTACATCGGTATTTATCGATGTTTTTCTTTAGAATGGATGCACCTGCAAAATCTACATTGCCCAATCACTATCTTTCATTATTGCCCCATCACCATTTCTCGGTTCCTGCTATCGAAGATTATCCACAAAGTCCGATCGAACGCTATACCAGTATTGGAACTACAAAAGCCAAAAGACACAATAACCATAAAGTCGATTATGAAACAATGACTATCGAATAATATAGCTGTAAACACTATTATTCTCCGTTATCTAACCAAGATTCATCATAATAAAGATATTTCAATCCCTGAATGTTATCACTCTATTGTATTCTGAATATTGTATTATACATTATCACTGGATGACAACATTCAAATTTGAGTTGTCCATCTTTGCGTTTTGTTATTGTATGCGACCAAAATTCTTTGAAGTCGTGATTAACCCTTTCTGATTTACATGCTTCATCGGGACACCGATTTGTCTTATCAGGTGCGATGCAGATTTGCTTCCGATTTGTTTCCAATGACATGTAAGCAAGTGTAGGGAATTTCGCTTTCGGGCATTGCAGAATATTTGGATCAGTGAAAAATTCTTCCAAAGTTGTGATGACAGATTTCACTACAGTATGTTTTGTCTGAAAATATTCCAAATGGTCAGCAGCAGACTTGAATTCTTTCTGGCACTACTCACAAAAGTAGGATATCTGGATAAATTGTGGCTCAGTTTCTCTACTTTCTGTCAGTTTATCCAACAGTTCTGTTGGACTATTAGTGTCACTAAACGACATGAGAGGTGTGAGCTTAGTGCACTCCAAACCTTTGATATTGAAATTATCCAAACAACTATGAGCGGAAATGAACTCCTCTAAGTATTTGGAACTATCAAGTGTTGCATCGACATTATAAGCCATGTGCTCTGTAGTTATCATCTGTTCTTGCATCGTTGTTGTTTGACTGCCGAGAAGATTTGGTAGTTTAGATGTAGTAGTAAGATCAGACCCAACATGTTCACTCTTGCAATAATTGGAACAATCTGAAGCTGTTTTAAAATTTTTCGAGCATTCTGAACAGCTGAACAGCACTTTCGTGGCAAGAGTAGCATCTAGTTTAGCTGTCATCCGCTCTTGTGCTGTTGCTATTTGTTGGAATCGGTACATCCGTGTACATTTATCTGCCAGTGCAGTAGTGACAAGCGGAGCATCTCCAGTAGATGTCTCCATTTGAAGCTCATGCTGGAAAAGAGCAGGTTGTCTTATTTAGGTCAGTGTATGCTGATCTATTCAGACACCGAAGGGGTCTCTTTCCATTTGGAATTTGGAAACAGAATTCAAGCCGTCTGATGAGACCCTTAAGCAAGGTCGAAACCGGTCACGGCAGCTTTCATCTTGAATACTTAAAGTTTCACGTGAAAAGGATATGATATTCGTTTTTTCGTCTCTGCTTTTCGCTCAACCAAGATTTTTTTTGTATATTTGAATTTTAGCTGGTTGAAGCTGAACCTAAGTCCAGATATTGTTTCGGTTGGTATCAGTGGCGATCATGTTGCCTGCAGTAGATCATACATGGCGGCGGTACGAGGAATTGTAGCCATGGCGGGCTCAACCCGACTGTGCTCGGAAAGGAAAAAGGATAGTGTTTATTTTTCCCAACCAAATTAATTTCTCTCCCTACCTATGTCGCTCTTAAACTTTCGTACAGACAAGAAAAGGTACAGAAAAGAAAAAAAAAATGTTCAGGGTGGGCTTAGCCCACTTATGGTACCGCCACTAATCATACATATAGATTAACACTTTTAATCAAATATCGACCAATGAACAGCAACAATCTATTAGCGAAAACCCAACTTTCGTAGATTCCACTTAATCCAAGAATAAGCTTGGTTTCTCGGATCTTTGGCTTGGGAATAAAAATAATGGGAAGTTTGTGTCTTTCCATTCTGCTTTTCTACTTCATATTTTACAGGACTCCTTATACATAAGTTTCTACTTGTGATTTTGTTCAATATTTCGCTGTGTCTATCGAAACGTTTGCATAATTTGATGAGAAAACATCGCTAATTGTTCAATGTACATAAAAAAACTAATTTGAAGCAGCCATTACCGGTTTTATCCTTGCTTAAGGGACTCATTAGGTGGCATGAATTCGGTTTCCAATTCCAACTGGAAAGGGCTGAATAGATTAGTATAGACTGACCTAACCAAGACAACCTGCTCTTTCACAGCATAAGCTTCAAGTGGAGACATCTACTACAGTCCAAATATTCGTGTATTTGGTATCTGCCAGTGCAGTGGCAACAGGAGGTGCATCTCTAGTAGCTGTCACCACTTGAAGTTTATGCTGAAAAAGAGCAGGTTGTCGTGTTTAGGTCAGTGCATGCTGATATATTCAGACACTAAAGGGGTCCATTTCCATTTGGATTTGGAAACCGAATTTAAGCCACCTGATTCGTCCCTTAAGCAAGGACAAAAACCGGTCGTGGCTGCTTCAAGTTTTGTGCACGTCTCCGTTCGCTAGGATCACCACTTGATCTCTTTCCACCATGTACACACACGTCCTCCTATCTTCGTCGACAACTCTGTTTGTCCACACCTGTCACTTATACGATAAAGGCTTCTTTTTCTATTCTCTCCAAGGTAAGCAGATCGGTGAGAGAGATCCACAGTCATGGACTGTGAGTTAGACGTCTATGTCTAATATTTTTTTATTTCCTTTTTCCAGATGTAGAGGTCTTCTCATTTTGTTGGATCTCTTGCTTCGAGCGCACAATTCGTCTTTGTCGTTCATATTTTTCCCTCCGCTCTTCCAAGAGATACCGAAGTTCGACGCTTCTTTTCACAGATTACGCTCTCTCCATGCAGTTCGTCGTTGTCATTTTCCTCTCTTCACCATTTGTCGATTTCTTGTTCACTCACGAACTTATTGTTCCTTCTCGGTCGTCTCCCAGAACTCGAAACACTTATTTACAAGATGGCGTGGAGTGTGACAGAGAGAAACAGTACTCTGGCTTTACCTCTCTTATCTCATCTGATCAACTTCTCGTTTGAAGAAGAAACCTTCGACCATGGTGTGAACATCAATGATGTGTCCTACTTCCTCAATGCCGTGCCTCAGCTAAGAACTTTTTCTTTTTCAGTCACTGCTGGATCGATTATGAGTCAGCAAAGCTGCTTCTTGAATGGCTGTCGATGGCAGAGTGCCTTGCGAAATCGATCATCTCTAAGCGAATTCAAACTGTGTCTAACTATTGAAATTCTATATGACGACTTGATAGATCCGGATGACATTGAACCAATTCCAACCAACAGCGATGAAGTACTCGAAGGCTTTCCATCTGATTTTTGGCTAGCGAGACAGTAGAAAAATAAGTACAACATTTGAATTCGTTCCCAAACATTTAAAGTTCAATATTTCGGTTTAGGCGTGGAAAATTTTTAAAAATCGTCTCAACGAAAACCAATTTTTCCTTTGAATCACCGAAATCGGATCAAAATGACAGAAGATTTTTTTGGTGTTTACCCATACTAAGTGCACTTTTATAGATCCGATTGGGCCCCAAAGCAGTTTTGAACCAGTGACGAGAATGACCATATCTTGCTCGAACGAAATCATAGGCAGCATAAGGATCGATAAGATTATTTTTCTTCATCAAGTTTCCGCCAAACTTCCTGTTCAAAAACTGATCAGCGCCCAATTCTGCAATGAAAAGCCTTTGGAAGTAAGCGCAAAATACTTAGCATAGTCGATAACCTATTACAACTACGAAATTTGTTGGTAGAGCAGTTAGAAATAAGTATTTGTAAATCGAATATAGAACTGCTATGAATAACATGACTTTCAGTCTTGAAAATACTTTATTCGAGCTTTCGCCAGCTTTCCGTTAGTATCATCAGGAATGTAATAGACATTCGAACAAACGATGGTAT